GGATCCTCCGACTACCCGCTCGACGGTCACACGATTCAGACGGATGGTGCCTTCGGAAAGAAGTGGAGACGCCCGAACCACGACTTTCGGGGGAGACTCGACGTGAGTCTCGTTCGAGCCGTTCGTGTAACTCAAACGTTTCAAAGTCACGTTGAACGCCCTGCCAACACCGGTCACGCGCACCGACGAAGAGAGATCGCCTCTCGCTCCAACGTACCCGTCGCAGCGGAACTCGAATCCTTCGACGTGCACGTGGCTGTCAATCAAGAAGACGTTGCATCCGTCCTGTCCGTCGGCGACCGCGATGATTCCCTCTCCGCACATCGGCAGCATGGTCACGTTCGACAGGAAGACGGGTCCCAGATCGTAAGGCAGGACGCTCAGCAACGACGACATCTCGCAAGACGACGGATCTTCCGCCGACGCGTCGTCCGGCACGACCACGAACGTGTCCCTCCCTTTCGAACCGAACTTCAAATCTCCGAGACTTCCTGACTGCTTCCGGCACCGGCCCGGCGAAGCCGATAGCAACATCAGAAATATTGCAGTCGTAATAAACATCGTTGCGGTCTTCGTCGTCCATCTATCAAACGCTAATCTTCACAGTGTATAAGTGTGTTTTCAAAGACACCTAGTTAACCGACCATGGACATCTTCGCCCAAGATAAGTTGCGTTTGGCGCTGACGATAGGTCTTGCGGTCGCCGTATTGATCGTGAGCTTGTTCCTGCTCAGCTCTGCCTTAAAAGTCGCATGGACAATTCCGGAAGCTACCGACCGGTCGTGAAGGAGGATCGAAGCTCGTACTACGCCAACAGACTGTCCGAAATTCACGGTCGGACTACGCTTGTTTGAAAGTCAATTAAAAAAAATACGGAAAAAAAAATTGTCATCTTGCCTCGATCTTTCTATGTTCGCCTGTCACTCGCTCATTCAACGTCATGTTCGCAAATTTTCACACATTAAAAGAAAAACCCGACAAAGTTTTTATGTATTTTTTCCACTATCATTTATTTTTTTAAGTCTAAATCTGAAATACATGGGATCGACATCATTCCACTACAACCTTCATTTTTTCAAGGGTCGTGAGCTCGTCCGCGTCAAACTCGCAATTTCTCAGAACGATCTCCGAAACTACTCCGTCGAAGGTTGTCGCTAGCCTGATCGGAGACACGTGCATCTCCTCCAGACAGAGGATCGGAGGCGAGTTATCGTCGCTCACGCGCTCTCCGCCGTCTTCGTCTTCGACGACGATGGAAAACCTCAACTTGCGACATCTGACCAAACGAATGTGCAGGAGGACGTTCCTCTTTCGAATCAGGGTCATCACGAAAGAGTCGACAATTGGCACGTCCACCAGAGTCAACCGTTGCAGGAAAGGCAAACCGAGAAGGAGGTTCGCGAACGTCTTACCGACACGGTACCCCTCGTCCTCGATTCCGTTCATTGCCACGGATATCTCGTTCATTGCCACGGATTCCGTTCATTGCCACGGATATCTCGTACGGATCGTGATGCACGAGTTTGAGGATCGTCACGAAATCCAATAACGCGGGCTCCACTGTCATTGATTTTAAAACCTCGCGAACGCAATCTCTCCGTCTGGAGGCGCGAACGGCGTCGCTGTGGCAAGCGCGACATCGGTCGACACTCCGTTCGACCCGAGCGCGACTGGACACTTATACACATCTAGATGTGTATAAGAGACAGATCCACGTCTGCATTCCGTTCCGTGCATGACTTCGTCCCAAAAATTGGAAATGTTGGATAACTGCAACCTGATCGCCGGTTCGTCCTTCGTCGCTTCTCTCGCTACGTTGCACAGTTCGACGGGAACCTCCATCATCATCATCTTTGATTTCTCTTAATTTTAAGCGCAGCGAGCGGTATAGCGCGTTATGCAAGTTTGGAAGATGCTAATAATATTCACACAACAAACGTATAATTTCATTTTTTTAGTAATTTTTATTTTTCGATTCAACAGAAAGTTAGAAATATCAAAATTATAATAATTTAATGTCCCAAAGCATGTTCTTGAGGGCTTCCATCGGATTCGAGAAGTAATAATGCATGTGCCGGAGATCTCTAGTCGCCTCATGCAGTCCGAGAGTCATCCGGTAACAGACGTGGATGTCGCCGACGTTTCGAACGGCCAACAATAGATTTCTGATGGTGTCCATAGTCAAAAGAATGGTCTTCTCGTCGTTCGAATCGGGAAAGATGGCGTCACGCCATCTTCTGAGATTGCAAACGGCGAATTCCAAATCGATGAGATTCTTAGCGGTCTCCCAGTACATACGCTTACGTGTTTTTGTAGCCTAATCAAAGGATTTCCGGCCGTCTTCCTTCGTTCGGTGGATGCCCAAAGCAACGTTGAGAATGGCATCGAGTTCGTCTCCTTCGTATCCGAAGATGTGAGATGTGTATAAGAGACAGGTGTCTGTCCCGTCGACCGTTACGGTGCAGTCTGCGAGCACCCCTACGCCGGAATGTCGGAAGCGATGTTAGCGTTCGCGGAGGCCTGTCTGTGAAACGATCGCCATGGGTCTGAAGGATCGCCATGAGATCGGTTGACTTCCCGACGGAAGCGAGAGAGAGGCTACTTCAAGAGCGACAAGGACCAGGACGTCATTTTTCAAAGAGGACGTAACGTGTGACGTGATGTAATTTTACCTTTATTTTTATTTTATTTTTTGATTGTTTTTCTTTAGTCGGATGCTCCTTATACGAAAAGGATCAAGTTCGACGACGAAGACGACGACGACGCAAGCACCTCCCAAAATGTTGGCGTCGGTGACGAACGAAGAGAAGCTGAGACCGCAGACGGCAAAGGAAACCTAACGGAATCCTTTCCCGAGGACTCTCAACTTCCCGTCGACGACGAACGAACAGGCGGAGAAGGAATCCTCGCCGACTACTTTCCGGAGGATTCTCAGCTTCCAGTCGAATCGTCGGACGAACAGGACATTTCCGACCAAGACACGGTCGTTTACGGAGACGAAAAACTGGAACAGCAACTGGACGACTGGCTGTTTTTGAAGATGTTGAAGTACAACACGTCTTCGGAATAGAATTTAAAAAAAATGTTCCGATATATTAAGTACTAAAGAAAAAAGAAAAACACGAAATCTTATGTTCTGTTTTGTCTTCAATAAAATCTTTATTACAAAAAAACAATACAAAGTTGTTATTGTGCATATTTGTCTTCATACGAAATCAGTCTATTATCAGTAGGTAATGCAAAAGGAAATTATGCAGAGAACCGCTACCTTTCCAAAATTTGAAGACGAGGAAGACAGGGTGAAAACCTTTCGCAACTGGCCGCATGACAGACCCGACGGAAGGTCGATGTCGGAAGCGGGGTTCTTTTACGGGGGTTTCGAAGATAACGCCAGGTTTTTCTTCTGCGGAATATTGCTGTGCCGATGGGAGCCGGGCGACCTTCCTCTTTCTGAACACGCCGAACACGGGAGTTCGTGCTTGTGGTTGCGGCGCAAGACGAAGGAAACCCTTATTTCCAAGATTAATTTTGCCTCCGAATTCGGATTCGACAGCGACGTAATCGCAAAGGTTGTGAGCGATCATCTAGAGAAGAAAGGACAAGTGTTCTCGCTGACAAACGAAGTTCTGATCTCGAGCATAATCGACTTCGATGAAAATGGGGCCGACGACAGGAAAAAGGACGGGGTCGAAGATCCGTTGAAACACGAGGGCTTGGTGTCTCTGATCGTCGAACTTCGCTTGGAAGAAGATGCCGAAGACGAACGTCCGGAACGAAAAGAAAAGGAAGAAGGAGTTCGTGCGCCTGTCGAAAGCTATACGAACAACGTACGCGTCGGCGACGACGACGACGACGACGACGAGAAATCTCGCGGAGATCTATTGAGGGAAATTACCGATCTCAAGGACGAGATGTCGTGCAAGGTGTGCATGGATCGCGATTCGATCGTCCTCCTGACTCCGTGCAACCATCTCGTCTGCTGCGACTCGTGTTCCATAAGGTTAGCGTCGTGTCCGATCTATCGTACAAAAGTCGGTGAGGTCGTCAAAGTTTACCACAGTTAGGTTTTGGTCATGGAAACGATGGCCGAAACGACGAGAATCATGAGAGTGTTTGCAAAAGCGATAAAAGAAGCCGAGTTGCACGGCGATAAGGTAAACCTATTTTTTTTCGACGAGTACCAACACGTCATCGACCCGACCGTCAGCGACGATGAGTGGGAAACCCGATATTTTTGTACTATCCGTAAAAAGATGTATTTGAAATTTGGATGTTTGAAAGTGATAAAAGAGATCGACAGATTGAGGACTGCGTGCAATTCGGAGTCTCGTCGCGTGCTTCCACCTCCCTTTCAGATCGCCAGAAGGTGCATAGTGCATCGCGACCCGGACGACCCTTTCAACAAGACGGCGACTAACCGAAGCAAGGAAGGATTGGACGTTCGACCGAAAGGATACGATCGCCCGTCCGCGGTGAATTGGATATCTTCCGTTCTTGGCGACTGGCCTTGCGAACGAGGACGCGTGGCGGACGTTTTGGCGATCGCGCAGAGGGCGTACTCGTCTCATCCTTGGAAGAAGATGATGGCTACACGGTGGGCGACGTGCTGAACGAATTGTGTCCCGGTTTCGGTTGGATGTCTCTCCGGACGCTGGAAGAAAGCGACAGATGCCAGATGTGTCGGGACGCGTACTCCGAGGTGATGACGATGTCTTGCCGACAATTTACGTCCTGTCAATCGTGCTCGAAGCGGGTGAACAACTGCCCGACGTGCAGACGTCCCATCGAACAGAGGCTGTCGGAGTGGGAGATACCGGACGGTACGAAAGTGTACAGATGAAAATTAGATTCTTTCTATTAATTGAAAAGTGAATAATAAAAGAAATCATTTAACGACAATCTGTTGTATGCGAATGTTTTTTTTTTATATATATAGTTGTCTCTTTGACAATTAGCCATGTTCGTCTATCTGACGAGCGCCAAATATTCAAAGATAACCGGAAGGTTGTCCGTTCGCGGAAGAAATTCAGACGGACGGCCGGTTGACCTGGAGAGTACGAAGGTGGAATTCCAGTGTTACGCCGAAGACGAAGACGGCGACGTGACTTTACGAAGAGGCGACAGATACGAGTCCGTGGGTCAAACGTACCGCACGCTCAGGTCACGGGACAGGAACGGCATCCCCGTTGAGAACACGTTCAGCAACCTGTCGTCTGCCGTCGACGACCTGGACGCCCAGTGCGCCGTCGGCGTGCACGGGTGCGCTTGGCATCGATGCACCACGAACGAGAAGGGATACGTCGAGAATTTCGAGTACGACGAACAAATCCACCTCGAACTCGAGGAAACCGATCCCGTGCAGCCGTCCGTGCTCTACCTATCCGTTCGACTCGACGTGACCGGACGCGTGACGGCCGTCGTTCTCTCCGACGGAAGGATGTCGAAGGAGCCCGAAGAGAGGGAGGTGCTGCGATGTCTGACGAACATCGGGAAGTCCGCCGACGTTCTCGTGTATCACGGAGAGTGGGTGAAGACGGTCTTGACGAACAGATGCTCGGCGTGCGAACTGCCGATATCTCGATGGCCGATATGCGTCGACACCTCCGAGGACGCCGACGGGTGCCGCGATCGCGACTTCATGTACGAGTACGCGAGCAGAAGATCTTGCAACGAACTTTCTGCACGAACGTCCGACGACGTGCTGGATGAGGAGCTGTCTGTTCTCCGGGATTACGAATGCAAGGTACGCAGCAGGCGTCTTGTGGAAACCGTCTTGGACGCTTCAAGGTTGACGGGCACCTTTCCCAGAGGTACCAGAAAGCATATGCTGTCGTCCATGCTCTGCAGGGAGGCTGCGAAACAGGGTTTCGTGTTTCCCCGTCGAAGAGAGACTGCGGAAGAACCGGCCGAAGGCGGAGGTCTCGTTCTCGAACCAGTGCCCGGCATCCACGATCACGTGGACGTGTACGACTTCAAGTCCTACTATCCCAGGTTCGTCGTCGACCGGAACGTGGACGAGGCGACCGCTCTCGAAGTCCATACTCAAGAGGCTGGTGCGAGGACGGGACGAACGACCGGAACGGTCGGCCGCATACAAACGGGTGGCGAACGCGTGCATCGGATGCCTGGCCATTTTCGGAAGAGGTGGACTCTACAACCACGTGACGTCAAGCTGCAGGAGACAGCTGGCCAAGTTGAAGAATTGCGCCGAACGCAATGGCGCTCGGGTGGTTTACGGAGACACGGACTCGCTGTTCGTGAAGGTCGGGGCGAACGGCAGACCCAACTTGCAGATGGAATTCGAAAAAACCGTCGGCGGAAACGGATGGCAGAAGTTCGTCCGGAGGGAGACGTAAAGACGGCTGCTGCTGACGACGGCGAAGAAGAGATACGCGCCTGTTCGCATGTTGCGATGATATTAAGTTATTTTTTAAAAACTTTATTTGAACGCAAACACATTTCTCAGAAACCGCAGCTAATATATGAAACGAGTGTAAGGAGATGGTCCGTAAAGAGGTGGAAACGGTGGCATATATTATAGAAGATTTTCAACGAATAAGATATAGTGTTCAGTCGAATGCATCCGGTGCAGACGTCGATGAAAAGAAAAATTGCAAAAAAGTAGCCCATAGGATGCACGAGTGGGACGAGATTTCCAAAGGTTACTTCCTGATGCGTGTTTTTCTGGCGAAGGGATTTCATCGATTCACGATAGGAAACAGCCAGGACGTTCGATTTTACGGTGTCATCGAGGGTGAAGGAATAATAAAGGACGAAGGAATAATAATCGAAAATCCAACGTTCGGTCGACTAAAGAATCGTACCTTCGAATATTACAACGACGGAAGTGATGGAAACAAAAGC